AGAGGTCATTCTTGCTTGGACAGCAGTGGGACAGGCAGGAGGCTGGGTGGTGGTGGGCGTGTGGGAAGTCATTGCGTGGGGAGCTCAGGCCCTGCGTGGGGATGGAGAAGTGGAACACGGCGCACTCTGGCTCCGTGCAGAGGCTTCTGGGGATCTGCCCGCCCTCGGGTGGGCATGAAGGGAGACCCAGCAGTGCCTCAAGAGAAGGTGGGTTGCTTGGGGTGGACCCTCCGAAAGTTCGGTTTAGCATTGGGAGGTAGGACTTTGGTGAGGGCAAGAGGTCTGGGGCCTAGTCCTCAATTCCACGAACTCATCCCCTCGGAGGGCCCCCCCCCCACAAATATACTCATTGTCAAAGTTATGTTCCTGAGCCCACCTCATCACCGTCCTGTTTTGCTCTGAACCCTTCACCTGCTCCCCGCTGTGGCCAAGACAAAGCCACTTCCACTTCCTCAGCTGAGGTTCAGAGCCCCGCTGCACTCCTGTGTCTCCCCCTCAGCCCTGTGATCCCCTCCCCTGCTTGGCCTCATCTCCCACCAGCTGCAAACCCAGCAGGTGCTTCCCGGAGGGGCCACTCCCGCTGCTTCCTGCAGATGCTCAGCAGCCCAGCCAGGCCCCCCTGCGCAGCCCCTCACCTCCCTGTGACACTCAGAGTGAGGCCGACCCAGCTTTATCCCCCGATGCTGGCTCATTTTCTAGCCTGGGAGTTCTTTCTTTAACCAGAATATTTTTAAAGTTTTTAAAAATTGGTTTTATTTTATATGGTTATATTTTTAGGGTGTTTTTTTAATGTTATAACTTTAGCCATACAAATGATATACGATAAAAAGGGAGGGCATCGCCCAATCCTGTTCCCTGTTAACAGGCTAGGGCAGTGGTTCTCAACCTTCCTAATGCCGCGACCCTTTAATACAGTTCCTCATGTTGTGGTGACCCCCAACCATAAAATTATTTTCGTTGCTACTTCATAACTGTAATTTTGCTACTGTTATGAATCATAATGTAAATATCTGATATGCAGGATGTATTTAGGCGACCCCTGTGAAAGGGTCGTTCGTCCGCCAAAGGGGTCGAAACCCACAGGTTGAGAACCGCTGGCCTAGGGTATAACCTCCCAGGTGTTTCCTCCATGCGATTTTTTTCTTTCTCTCCCTCCCCCCTCCGCTCCCCTCCCCTCCTTCCCTTTTCCCTTCCATCTTCTCCTTTCTTCATTCCCTCTTTCATCCCTCCCTGCCTCTCTTCCTCTCTCCCACCTTTTTTTCTTTCTTTAGTTTAGAGCGGAGAAAAAAAATCCTGAAGCTTTAATATTCCAGGATTGATAGAAAATCCATAGGTCATATGCAAAAGAAATAATTAAAACAGGTACTTAAAATAGGTTTTTACAATTTTTAAATTTATTTTTTTATTGTGGCAAAAAGCACATAAGATTTACCAGTTAAGCATTTTTAAGAGTGCAGTTCAGTGGGGTTAAGTGTGTGTGCATTGTTAGGAAACAGAACTCTGGGACTTCTTCATCTTGCAGATCTGAAACTCTCTATCCATTGAACGCCAACTCCCACTTCCCCTGCCCCTCAGCCGCAGGGGACCATCCTTCTACTTTCTTTTTCTATGAATTTGATGACGTTAGTACCTCCTGTAAGTGGAGTCATACAGTATCTGTCTTGTTGTGACTGGCTTATTTCACTTAGCATAATATCCTCAAGGTGCATCTGTGTTTAAAGTGTTTTATATATAAAATAACAGATGCTCGTCGTATTAAAAAAAAAAAAAAGCATGGGGAAGCCTTTAAGAAAGTGCACAAGTCCCACCTCCCCCTGGGGCGTCATGTGCACACCCTTCGAGATGCCATCGATGTGATGATAAGAGAGCACACGCCAGAGATGTTAAAGTGCAAAGAAAGAATTTCGAGGAATAGTTCTTCCACACATGACCCTGCATGTGTAGATCGTTGACTGACTTCATCAGTTTGCTTTCCCCAAAGGTGGTGCCATTGTGCACAGCCGCCTACGGCTGTGGGAGGGTCTCTGAACAACTTGGAAGGCAGACCCTCCGACCCAGCACCTGCCCCTCCCACAGCTGGGGAAGCTCAGGTCCCAAGGAGTAAGGAGCTTGTCTGATGTCACAGGCGGCAGAGCTGGGACTAGCTCCCAGCCTCCTGGTGTCTAGGCGGCAGTTGTTGCTAAGAAACTACCCATCTCAAACTGTCTCTCTCTCTCTCTCTCTCTCTCTCTCTCTCGGTAGTTTCACTCTCTTGCTGCAACACCTTTCATGGCTCCCTAGTGCCTACAAGACAAATTCTAAATTTAACACCCCCCCCCCCCCATCTGGGGCTGCTGCTTTCAAGGTTGTGGTGTGGTCCTAGCGGTCAAGTCCCCGAGTTCCGAAGCTGCGTGGTCCTGGTCCCTGCTTCCTTGTTGAGCACCTACAGGTCCGTGTCAGTCTCCACGGATAAACACAAGTTCACCTGCAGGGTGAACTCACTGTCCTCCATGTTTAAGGATTCGCAGACACGGCCCGCGGCCCGTGTTCCCTGCCCGGCACCGGCCCACAGTGAGTGCGCATTATGGGGCGCTGTTCTTATCTCAGGACCACCGTCCCGGTCCCCCATCCGCGGACAGCATTCTGAGTGGCCACATCCTCCGGCTCGCCTCGTTGGGGGTTGCCTGGCAGGGCTGGGGTTTTTATTTTTATTTATTTATTTGTTTATTTATTTATTTTAACATATCTTTATCGATTTCAGAGAGGAAGACAGAGATAGAAACATCAATGATGAGAGAGAATCATTGATTGGCTGCCTCCTGCGCGCCCCCTACTGGGGATCAAGCCTGCAAATCGAACCCAGGAATCTTCAGTCCGCAGGCTGACGCTCTATCCACTGAGCCAAACCGGCTAGGGCAGGGCTAGGGTTTTTAATAATCTACACAACCACCAGCTGGGAGAGGGTTTTGTGGATGGTCTTTGGGGTCCTGGGGAGTTTGCGTCCCAGAGGAGTTCCTGGAACCCCTTCCATTACGGGTGGGCCTTGGCCCAGGGGCCTCGGGGCAGGTCTGAGAAGGGGCTGGGGACTGGCGTGGCCAGCGAAGTCCCAGAATCCATGCCTCAGTCCTCCCTCCCTGATCTGGCCTCTCCCTGCTACCAATTTGCTGTGGGATTTTGTGCAAAGAGCCACTCCTGCCTGGGCCTCAGTTTCCCCCGCTGTCACCTGGGAAGCCAGGTCCCACCCCCTGCAGGGATGTGGGCGCAGTGGGGTGACACGGAATGGAAACCCTCGGGAACAGTCAGTGCGGTGGAGCGCCCTCCGCGTGTGGGGCGCGCAGGGGAGGGCGCCAGTCCTGCTCGGATCTCCCATCAGGGCTCCGCTCTGGTCCGGCCCCCTCCCTTCCCGGCTGCGCTCCCCCCTCCTCCCTCCCTCCTGCGATCACGGAGCTGGCTCCCGGCATGCCGCGCGCTGCTGACAGCCTTATAAATAGTCGCCTTTGCGGGCGGGTGGCTGGCGAGGACGGGCAGGGCACTCACTGGCCCCAGCGCCCACCCGCACCCCC